CCACCAGGAGATGGGCAACAACCAGAAGGGAGAAAAACTGCTTTGATCTTAAGTACATCCTCACCTCTCCTGCTTCATATGGTTTGGGTTTCAAAGCTGGAACATGAACTTCCTCATAACCTTTTCTTTGTTTTCTGAATGATCCATCAGGCAGCTGACATTTCTTGTTGGCCATTAAATGACTCCCATCCTTAAATGCTAGATCTTCCAGATCTAAAATTCTACGACTACCACGAGTCTGTTGGGGAAAAGAAAAAAGAAAATCTCACTGATGACATTTTAAGTAAGGTTATAAAAAGATCAATACTCCTTTGGGTATCAATAAAGAATTTTACTGCAACACCAAGAAAACCATAAACATTAAAAATATTACTGGAATGTGTTGTGTCGGTCAAAACTATGCCAGTCAGGTAAGAACAATCTCAACTTTACACAGTAGTGCCTCTTGGTCTGTGCTTTGTTTACATTACCTCATTCCCCTAACAAACGGGTAATAATGCCGCTAAACCAATAGAAAGTCTTAAATATTCCAATGAACAATGACAATAATACCTGATCAGATTCAAATGCATCCAAATCTGCTGCAATTCTTGCTTTCCTATTGGCTGCCTTGCGAGCTCTTTCCTCCTGCAACAAAAAATACCAAGATTATTATTCATGATTGTTTTATTTTATTTCATCACTAGCCAGGTTAGAGATCACCATTGTGCTGAGGGTTCCACATGGGTGAGGTAGACAGATCACTATCCAGACATAAAGAAAATCCTCCTGACACGTTATGGTTTCACTCCCAGATCTTTTCAGTAATTCTCCTTACTGTCTGTCATACAACTCTTACAATGTTGGTTTAAAGAATTTGGTATTGCATTAACTAACAATCCCCTAATTGATATTTTTCTCTATACTCATCACTTATCTGCTTGATCTTGTATTGATTTATTAAGGAGAAATTCTATCCTGGTCACTCATGGGATTTAAAGGGTTAACACTATTTGCCAACAAACATTGTACCACATACAAAATGAAACCCAGCAGCAAACAACATGAAGTAATACCAATCAGTTCATTGGAGTTAAATAACATTGTTGTTCCCTTTAATCAATGTTATCAGGGCAGACAATGCTCAAAAATTCAAGAACCTTCTGCATAAGCATTTGAGTGCCCCTTAGTTTTTTTTTCTCTTGATATCATTGTTAACAAGTAAAAATCATTTCAGTATACTTGATCACCCAAGTAAAAAATATTTGTTGTTGTCAAATGTGATATAGTTTTATCTTATAGCATATCACTAATTAGAGTTTATTCTTAGGTCTGGGGATCAGCTTAAGATAAAGATTAAGTTCTTCTCTGCTGGCTCTCCTTTTGCAATTGTAAACATAATTTCAATAAAAATAAAGAGTTAACAATAACTTAAAAACTAAATAAAATAAATAAAGGGTTAGATATGCTTTGTAAGTTAAAGTTTTGAAGTTGTCTGACCTGAATCAAATCTTCTTGTTCTGTCTCAGTCAGTGCATGCAAGATGGAGGCCAAATCCGGATCAGCACTCATCTTCTCTTCAATCTCTTTCTTTTCCTTTGCACTCTGTGCAGTTGCAAGCAGTGTGCAATACAGCACCATGCTCTTGTTCTTCCGCAGTAACCGGATAAAAGAGAACTTATCATGTCCAAGAAGAAGCATCATTTTGTTTTCCAGCTCACGATCATCCTTTGCACTCTTCAGGATCTCCAGGACTTCTTCAGCTTTTGATCTTGAAGCCTCAGCATCTGCATAATACTTGTTCAATTCTCGCTGCAGCCAAAAGGCATCAATGTCTCGAGGATGAAGAACATCACCTGTTCTTTGAGCTCTGTCTTCTTCAAGCTGCATGAGAAACAACAAAAAAATTAACCTAAGATTGCAATTAACTACAAATTTACTAATAACATTTCCTAATATCTCACATAAATCTTTCTCAAGATAGGGCAAAGAGGACATTGTAGTCTCTATGAAAGATTCTAACCTTAAGACCTCAAAATCAAAGAGTAGCTTTCAAAAAGCTCTCAGCAGGATTGCTTATAAACTACTGTTAGTATGACTCATATTTCACTCAGTTCACATTTAAATAAAATTGGGATCCTGTACAGGTAAATACACAAATACATTTAGCACATGCAAATATGTATGCCACCCTTAAGAAATTAAGGGTAACAGACACTGTGGAACATTTAACATGAAAAAAAAAAAACAAATAAAAAATATCTTACCCCTCCCTGGAGAGTCATGGTTGTATCAGCCTCTACTCCTTCCTCTTCATCACTGGGCTCTTCATCACGGACCTCATCAAAGTCTTTATCTTCCTGTAATTTGTGAAAAAGACCTTTCACGATATGGACCAAGGTTATCAGGATTTTTTCCATTATTCTGACTTTTGAATGATCAAAATTTCTTCTCAGGTTCCATTTTTTTAGGCTGTTGGTTACATGTAGCTTATTGAACAACTTTTTGTAAACACTTTTGACAAATGTTACCAGTTTATACACAATGATTTGTAACTGTACTTTAATCCATGCATAATAATGATTAAATGACATGTATTCTCTTTTGAGTCATTCAGTTTTATTTTTGGCTCATTGATATTCATATTTTTCAATCATATGGACTTGCAATTATGCGGGCTATTCAGTCCCCACAAGTCCAGATAATCAAGGTTTGACTGTAGTAAGTATACTCCTAAGCATGTCAGTTATCAATAACTTGAATGTGTTTGTGTGTATGTATGGCCACCTAAGACAGCACAAGGATGTTAATGCAAGTTTTTATCACATTTTATGTTTTAAATTACCTCTTCCTCTTCTTCATCAAACTGTACAGCCACACCATATGTCTCATCAATAACCTCGTCTGTATCAAGAAAAAGAACAAATGCTTGTCTTGAACCAGCATGGAAGAATGCAACAAGGATTACCCCTTTCAACCCAAAGAGTGACAAACATCTACAACTGTAATTTCTCCTTACAATATCACCCCTGAATCACATACAAGGGTCACAAGAATTGAGAAAATGATCACCAACCAAAGAAACCCTTGATTGTTCAACAAATTCTCCTTGTCAGCACCTCAGGCAATGTATAGAGAACAGTATAGAGAGTATGCATATTGATGTTAGGGTGTAAAGGGTTAAATTTATTATACTAATCCTTATCCCTCACTGATCATTATCATAAACCAAATAATCCACATGGCTTTCTTCAGAATCAGGTAAAGCATGGGTTTGTTTTAATCATTTTGATCAGCAAGTTTTACTTTTACTGTTTTCCTTCACTGTTTCCAATGAATAAAAAGCAAGTTGGGAAAATGTAATCAAGATGATCAGGTAAAAAATGGGAACTCAAAGTGGTAAAAATATGTATATACTCACCATCATTTAGTAAACTCCTGTCAACAGAGTAATCTGTGATCTTTTTCCCCAAGTTCACCAATAAGGCATATCTTTCATCAGGCATTCCACCAAGAAGGGACACAATTTCTTTCTGTCGTTCTTTATCCTGACATAAAACCATTAATTTTGCATGAAGTAAATCTATAGCTACATATGTTACACTAAAATAATGACAATCATTCAAAAGCAAAAGTCTTTGTGTTTGGTAAAACACTGACAAGAATACACATACACTGTAACTTAAAATTTTGTTCAAAGAACTTATTTAACCCTTTCAAGGACCAAGCAAATTATTAATAAATTGGCCTGGATAACTTCCCAAGGGATAGGTGAATTTCCCTCTCCACATTAAACAGGCACATGGAACAATCACATGACTGTGGTAAGCTAAGAGAGGAATACAGTAGACTTGATGATACCAACAAGCATTAAAACATACAGTACAGCTTAGAGCTGAAATCTTGCAGAAAGCTCTACTTTATCAAAGTTTCAATTACAGAATATAGTTGGAAGAAAATGGCATAAAGTAAGACAGAAATAACCCACATACACCTGTACATGTGTAATCACTAGAGAAAATAATTAGCTCAGGACACCAAAATTCAGGCAGAACATTTTGCACAAATGGTCAACCTAGCATTTTTTCCTTCTCATTTCTCAAAGAAGTATGAAAACCAGTCAGTCAGGTTTCAAGGGAATTTACTGATAACCAATTAAATATCAAGTAGGCCCTAAATTACATGAACATCATACCTTCAGCTTATCATCCTTCAAAGCTATCAACACTTCATCCGCAGCTCCACAAAGAATGTCTCGTGGCTGGGTTAAAAAAAAGAATTCAACAAAAAATTGCACATTTACATCTACCAGTATCCAGGAAAGTTCTTGTGGTTATAAGTTATACATACAGTATAAGGAAATGTTCTGTTCACAATAATGTCTTCTAAAAAACTAGCAACAAAAATCCTCAGAGATGCAGTGTTTTAACAGAGCACACATCTCCATAGTTACCTGATCACCAATAGCTGCTTGTATAAAGCTCAAGAGGACCTCGTATGTGGATTTGGTTTCCCTGGTTTTTGGCCTGTATCGAACACCAGCTAAGTCTGATGACTCATCTGACAGAAGACTGCTACTGGTCTTGCTCTTGGTAAAGTCTTCTTTCTCCATCATTTTCTGACGTCTACAAGAGAAGAAGCTCATATCAACCCTTTACTCCCTAACATCAGTGTGTACTTTCTCATCACTGTTCTCTAAACATTTCCTAAGGTTCTGACAAGGAGAATTTGTGTAACAATCAAGAGCTTCTTTTGTTAATGTTCATTTCCTTCATTCTCGTGACCTCGATGAGTGATTCAGGGGGGATAATGCAAGGAAAAATTAGATGCTAGTCACTCTTAGGGGGGTAAAACCCTTCAGCACAAACAGCAAAATGATTTCTCTCCTGAAAAGAGTGATTACTGCATGTCATATATCCCTCAGAAATCGAAATAAAAATAGCTAGTTGTATTGTAGTGGATGTAAAGTAAACTATATCAATAACAGTTTACTTACTTGGCCTTTTTCTCTTCTGATACAGGTGGTTTTGTTCTTTGGTACTTGTCACCCATTTTAATTCCCCCGATGTGACCCACAAGGGACACGACCTCCCCTGTTGCTTCATCACGTCCTCGCCGCTCAATCAAGGAACGATCAGCTTGCAAAACAAGATTAGAGTTCTGGAAACAAACAAGTACATAATCATTATGGGGGTAAGTTGCTAAAGAAACTGTGGTGCTGTGTTGGTAGGAGAGTTTAACAGGGTAATTTAGTATTATCAACTGAGTTGATATGATAAATTGGCCACTGTGAAGAGTTTAAAAGCTGACACTTCAAGCGTTAGCCTTTTTTCAGAGCTCTGACGAAGAGCTAATGATTGAAACATCAGCTTTTGACCAATACAAAACTTTAGTTCAGGCAATGGAATGTGATAGAAGATGAATTTTGAGCTGGGCCATGAAATAAAGAAAGATGTATGCATGATTCCTGAGGTAAAAATTCAAAGTTCCCCCAAAAAGACCCTTACACCTACAAATCAATGCTTTACTACTGAGCTCCAAGAAATTCTATCCTGCGATGGGCAGGTGACATGATTCCGTCAGACTGCTGAAAGCATCTTTGTCCATGCAGAAATGCATGCAGTAAAGAAAATGGCGAAAATTTTTCAAAATCATTAATTACGCCAAGCTGATTTCGCTTTGACGAATTTGAATAAAACTGTTCAGGATAACAATTGTAGTTAGAATTAGCGCTGCGAATGTAGGATATGACATTAGTGGAGTCCGGCTTAGAGCTCGCGATAAATAGATATACACGTTATAACTGTTGCCCTTCTCTTGTTCCTAATGGTTACTTGTTCCAATTGCACTAAAAGGCAGAAACGAGCTGACGATGATAATTTTTGTCCAATTCTACAACCACGTGGTTCAAAACGCTGCAAAAATCCTTCATAAACTCACCGCTTTGTACTCATACTGCAACGATCTGGCCGTAGCATCAGCCATGATGCCGTATCAGACCTACTCCTCGTCACTATAGCTTGTTACTTGTCTGGATCAAATTAAAAGCGTTGCGTACTGTGGATCGATTGAGACGGTTTGCAGGGAGAAAAATCAAGATGGCTGCCAAACGTTGGCCGTGCGTATGCCAATAACGCAGTCCGCTGACCATTACCGGCAGTCTATCCATCTCGTCCCCAGAAGTCCTCCTGGCTAACGCTCGAGACATTAGTTTAGAAACTCTTTACGTTGACCAATTTATTATCAACTCAATTGATAAAACCAAATTATCTTGTTATACTACCCCACCAACACAGCACCACAGTTTCTTTGGAACCTTTTCCCCTCTGAAGCTCGCTAGCAGAATTGAACAACGAGGTCCGTTTCGAGACAACAGTGTTCGACTTTTAAAAAAACTGGTGAACGATTTTAGACTCTTCGGGGCCGATTTCAGACACTAGTGTCCAATTTTAAGCATTACCGCCCTATTCTGGACACCAGCGTCTTATATTGGACGCGAGTGACCAATTCCGATTTTAGACAGTTGTGTCCGATTTAGATAATATTGTTCAATCCTAAAAACGAGTGTCCGCTCTGAGGCATTTCAAGCATAAGTATCCGATTTTAGACAATAGTGTCCGACTTTAGATATAAGTATCTTTTTTTACACACACACCACAGTATGATTTTGGTCTCTAGTGTTAGTTTTTATCGTTCACGTATTGTCTAAATACCAACTTGGTTGAGTTCAATAGTTTAAATTTTGGGTGGTGTTACAAAGAATGGCCTTTATTTTTTCTTAGAAGTTTCTTCTACTGTTTGATTTATTTAGTTGACAGTGTTGCGCTGCAAGGAAGCACCTTGATAAAGCGGATGTGCGTGTGTTCCTCTTCTGCTGAGACTGCCGCATTCTTATCGCTGAAATAAATATAGCTCTTATCATTGTAACTTTCTAACTTTTAAGCAGATAAATACTCACGCACTTCAAGAGCAGATCAGTCAGGTTTGAGGCAGCTCAGCGGAAGTGACGTACATTATTTTCTTTTTACTTCCGTGAGCTACTTCCGCGTCACACGATCTTAAAGTTTAACGTGAAAGATACAACTTCAGTCCCAAGGGAAAAAGAAGACGGACAAACCCGAAAGATGAAGCGATGGTTAGAGAACAAAGTCTCTGTGTATTTTAAAACTGTTAAAATGTCGTTTTTGGCAGGTGCGCTTCTCGCTTCGGCCTTATATCCGATCGGAAAAAAACACGATCGGTAACTTACAGTACAGACCTCAAACTCGATTAGCTAACGGTATTTGCTTACCAACCCTAAATCCTATTGAGCTGTATTCCTTTCGCGGAAAATATCTTAAGGTCTCATATTCCCACTTCCGACTTGCACATCTTCCGTTTCAACCACTGCTAACAGATTGAATGAGCCGACTTCCATGAAAACATGGAAGTTAAGAGCTTTTGGGCCAAGATCAAACAGCATGTTATTCCAGTAGGTTTTTTAGATCTGCTCCGAGTCAATTAACCAGCAACAAGATTTTTGAAGAATCAATAAATGGGATGAAAAAAATTAAACGTAATCCGCTCTCCTGGAGATGTATTCCCAGCTTAGTGGAAGAGGAACTAGAGGTTGACTTTTCGTTTGGGTTTGAAACAAGATAAATGGCTTCGATAATTTTAACTTGTGAAATGATGTTGTCTTTTAAAGCTTTCGTAATTTGCGGCAAGCGAGAAAGCAGAGAGTGAAACTATATAGATATCCACAAGAGCACAATTTGCACCAGCTCTTTTGAACAGAATGTGGGGTTCAACTTCATTTAGAGCTTCCGGAATCTTGGCAGGTCAAGAAACGGAAATAGCACGTAACCAGGCTGGGCTGACTTTGGTCTACAACAGGGTCAGGATTCAAGAACATCCACTTCCTACTGCACGTGCATTTTCACTGGGATGGATGTAGCATGAACGCGTCATTGGGAAGTAATGATTGAAAATGTGCAAAAACGTGCTTCGAAAGTAAACTTGTTTCAGAAGCAGTGGCCTGTTTTCCTAGCAGGTTACATTTTCCTTTTCGATGGCCTATCTGTAAGTAGAGAAATGGAATCTTTTAGATTCAGATTCAAAGCGGCAGCGCATGATTGTTCAAACATTAATTCTCTCGTTTACAGAAATATTAAGTGGAAATAGACATGGAAAACATTACAAGCAGCGTGCCACAATAAACATAATTTAAAACCGGAAGTTCCTAATCATTCCAGAAATCAGTCAGTTGCATTTACCACCGTAGTAAGCGGATATGATCTGGTTGAAGCGTATCAGGTATTGTTTTTCTAGGCTTTCGTTGCAGGAAATCGGTGACAAACTCGAGACAAACAAGACGCCTCAGAAGTGGTATTTATAGACCTCAACTGAAGGTTTGAAACCATTATATTATCGACAGTATTGAGCGAGGGAACATTAAATTCAAAAGAAGACCAT